TATGTTCTTACATGTTAAATGTTAGACATATATGGTAGTCACGGCAAACAAAAATAATTTTATGATGTTAATGTATTGACCGAAAAAATGATATTCAGATGATTGTATTAAACGAAAAAATATAAAATTAGCAAAATAAAACACACAAATATTTCAAAAGAATTAAATTTGGTGTTTGGTAATAAGCTGAGTAAAAAGCATATTATATTATGTCGAAGAAATGATTAACATTGATAGAATTTGTATCATAAAATGTGTCAATTGAATCATAAAATGAAAATCGCACTTAGGAAGGCTTTATTTCGGACGGACCCTGGTGTGATCCAGAAAAGATCTGTACAACCCGATTGGTTACAAGCGACGGTGTAAATAAATTATTCCAACATATTTCAGAAGTCACGAGATTTTACTGAGGTTCCCCACAGACTTATAAAACACGCACGAAAAAAAGTTGGGCGACGCATTCTCTTACGTTATCGTCTTAAGCACAAACTGTTATGTACAATTTTTTGTCATTATTTCATTCATTACAGCCCTTCAACCATCTACTGCTAAGTATAGGCCTTCTCCTAGGAATGCCGCAAAGCACGGTTCTGTACCATAGGCATCCAATGACTTCCTGCATGTCTTACTAGGTTATCATTGCGTCACGTACGTTAAATGTATTTAAATAAAGAAGTACAAATTAATAAAACAAGGTTTTTCTTGGCATCTAAAGTTAATGTTTTAAAGCTAATATTATATTCATTTTAACAAGTGAATAAACGTGGTCATGAATAAGAAAGTAATAAAATGCATATGTTACAAACCGGTTACATTCATTGCTATGCAGACGACATCGTCGTGCCTTATACACCAACCGTGCCAATATTTCTCGGGAAAACGTCGCCGAGTACCAGGACAAATTTGTGTCTGAAGTCGAGTCTTTGATGAACAAAGTCTCGGCTTGGGGGCGACTAAATTTAGTTTCGTAGTCACTTGGAAAGGAAGGTCAAATTGGCCTCTAAAAAGCTTGGCGGGCTCAGCAGAATGAGACAGTATTTTATGCTGGCACATCACTATTAGGCGAGCCGCTCGCTCATTTACCCGCTCTTTCATTAGAAAGGAGATATTTAAATTATCTGGAAAAAAATGTATAAAATGAAAAACATAAAATAATTGAAACAATAAATGAAAATTGTTCATCTCATTACCGACAAATGAGGTTAGTAAGTTGAGGCAGTAATATAAATTATGGAGATGCTACATAAGTATTACTGCTAATAGCAATACTTGAAGTTTTCGAGTTGTTGACAACCGATTATTTTCTGATCCACTCGACTCTTTGTCGCTCCAATGAGACGCTGCATCACTTTGAATTTTTAATCACATTTGGGAACATTTGGAGTTTTTCAACAATTTCACATTGGAGAATTTGGCAATTGAGATTAAGCCAAACTGAGCATCAGTTTGGCTTAATGCCAAATTCTACCATCAACTCCGAAAGCTACTGTCCACTTTTGTGCAATTCACCAGAAGTTGTCTTCCTCGCACGACTATTTTGTAGAATCAATTACCGCCAGCAATTTATCAGGATCGATATAGCTTAGGAACCTTCAAGCAATGAGCATACTTCTATTTAAATAGGTTGGCAATGCAACTGCGATTCCTCTGGTGTTGCAGTTGTCGGTGTAGGGTAAATTTTTGAGGTCGATATTTGGTTTAAAATTACTACTATTTATATTATATTATACTTCCGGAGGTTGCATGTTGAATAAACGTTAAGATGTCCTTAAAAGTTGTTTAAAAATTAATTCCAGTTAATTTAGTAAAATAAACATCCAATCACACTCTAACCAGCGAAAATGTCTACCTGAAAATTTAATTTAACCATGAAGATAGTGTTCACCTGGTCTGCTAGAACATTAAGCCCCACAAAGTAACGAGCCATTAATTTGGTACCACAAGAAAGTTACAGCGCGCCGTAGCCACATAAATATGCTGAGGTGCAGCGGCAACCGTAAAGTTCAAAGCAAATTCTAACAAGCAAACTTTTAAGGTTTCGTTTCTATTGACGTTCTAATATATTAAGCTTTATTTATTTTTCCCTTCACTCCAAAGAAACTGGAGATGTAAACCTAAAATTCTGTGTCGTACATGTTTTGAGAAAACTAATATAATATGTCTATGTCGGGAAAATTAATAATTCACTAAAATGGGGCCAAACCGTAACGGAAAGGCACGTGTTGGGGTACCATAATTTACAATTAAGGAATAATTAACTGCAATTAATGATGATTGAAGGTGGTCGTATTAATAAGGGATGAATTATCAAAAAAATATTATTCAGTAAACTGAATTCGTTTCCGTTATAAAATATGATAAAGGTCAACCTGACATAATTTTAAATAAACAATTTCGTTATAATTCTTTCATTATTTCATTAGAGGTGATATCGTAAACACGTATTCTAATTATCTCTGTCGATTTTATTTAAAAAAGTGGTGCAAAAGTTATTTAGTTTAGTTAGTTATCTTGTTTAAACTATGTACAAAGAATATATATATATATATATATATATATATATATATATATATATATATATATATATATATATATATATAGTACTAGGTCCAGTGGTTATGCGAAATATACTAACTAAGACATTTAAACTAAAAGTGCAATATTCAAAAAATGTCGTTAATCAAGTGATCATAATATTTTATCGAAGTGCTAAGTGGGGTATCCCTGAACTCGTCTAATGGTCTATCATCTCTGTATCTATAACAACTTGCTACTATAACTGGCTAAGTGCAGATAGCGGCGGTAAATTTCAAACCTTTTACCAGAAAAGCGACTGGTATAGTGGTGCCAGCGTCAGCTAAGAAATTCCCAGACTGGCGATCAAATCCATGACACTACATGGTACTAATTTTTATGCTTTATTTTGAAGTTAACCCTTCGATCCCCATTAAAATCCCATACCGGCGTATGCGCCTGGCAAATCCCGAGCGGCCACATGCGACCGCGCCCACTCACAGCACTTAAAACCATTAAAACTCATATTTCGATACTACTTTTCTATGAAAAAGTTTGGCATTATAAAATCTTTATAAAATTCTCTATACTGTGGTCTAAAAGAAAGTCAGGTTTTACTTCAGTAATGAAGTAAAACATGACCATATTTATCATACCATCTTTATGTAAATAAAGATTTTATTGTATTTTGATAACAAAAAAAAAACATACCAAGCGGATGACGGCAGCATGAAAATAACAATTATTTCTATATATAATGGTAATGTCGACCAAGAATATCTTTGACTGTGCCCGGTCCATTAGTACAACATCAGGCTTGTTCGCAAGAAGAGTCCTGTCTGTGATGATGGCCCGGTCCCAATAGAGCCTGACGCGGTCATTTTCGAGCACGGCTTCCGGCAAGTACTTATAATATAGCAGTTTCCGGTTCACGAGACCGTATATCAGAGCGAGCTCCTGGTGTAGAATTCTGGCTACTACTCAGTGCAAGTACTCAGAGTTAGAAAGCGCCGAACAACCGGAGATGACATGCCTAAGTGAATCACCGGGATGGCCACAAGCTCGACAGATGTCGATGTGCCATCCTGGATGTAGGATGGATGTATCTCCGATAGTTGTTGGTCTTGATAACCTGACCCTTTATCGCACAGACAAAACCTTCGGTTTCCCCGAAGAGGTCACCGAAACGTAGCCAGTTGAGGGAGGCGACTGTGTCTACGAAAGGTTCATGTAGAGCCTTGTAGAACCTCCCGTGAAGCTCCTTCTCCTTCCATACAGTCTCCCGGTCGGTAATGCTCTGTACTGCCGGGTCTTGTCATTGTTCGTTGGCCAAGGATAGAGAGGTAAGCCCTTCATCACAACAAATGACGTCCCTATAAAATGGATCATCCGATCTCGTCATAAAGTAATTACGGAGGCTGCACACTTCGCGATTATGCATGGTAAGCGCGCTTAATAAGCCACGACCACCGTTATTTCGTGACAAGTACAGCCTCGTAATCGAAGATCTCGGGTGATGCATCCTATGGGACGTCATATTACGCCGCCCCGACATCCATTTTGAACGCGCGACATCACCTGATTTGCGTCCAGGAGATGAGTGATTCTTGCGCTCAAAATGGATGTTAGTGTCTTTTATATGGTTGGAAGACTGGAATTAGTGATCCCAGTAGTGAAGAGCTTAGGGAGCGACTTCTGTTTGAGAGCCTCCTGAAACTGGCGGGCAAGTACAGCGTGACACACCATGAACCCCTTCAGCCAGTAGTGATGCAGCCCGTTGACTCCCGGACTTTTGCAGTTCGGGGCTCTACGGACCGCCTCAGCTACGTCATCCGGCGTTATGATGAGGGAGTGTGTGGGCGTAATACTCGCATACTGACTCGCCACAACTTCCGTCCAAGGGCCCTCGCTGTGGTTTACGGACTCTGACCACAGGACGCGCTAGAATGCAACAGTGTCAGCCTGATTCGCTGTTGGGCCCGTTCCACTTACCTTTGCTCGCTCCAATGACTTATAGAGCCTCTTCTAATAACTCTGTAAGAGACGATTTTGGTTGAACCGTGTCGAACTCTCGATATATCGCCGAATCCAATTTCCCCAAGGAGCGATCCTCTGCTTTAGGTCGTTTATGCGCTCCGTCAGTTTTTGCATTATATCCGGCTGGAACAAACAAACATTTATCCCAGCAAATGCCATCCAGACGGTGCGCACAATCTTTGGCCTGTTATTGCTTGACCTGAAGCGTATCAGTCTGCCAATGAGGGCCCTAGCCTTTGCGATCCGTTCTTCAATTCTTATTCCCTAGGCTGGGATAGCGCTAGTTTTTCCAGTAGCGCGTCTAGCCGTGTCAAATTTGGCGCTTATAATACGGCATACTGCCAGTGCGGCGCCAAAAAGAATTGAGTCTGTCTCGCAAAGGTCCCGGCTGACTTTCAAATAGGTCACCATCATTGGGTTCAGAACCCTCACGACACCGATTCTACTTAAGTTATGCGGATAAGTCGCGGTCGAATTTTGATAGGCTTACTGCGTGTTTCCAAAATCATCTCTTCCAATTTACTCCTCATATGCACTAATTCAAATTCCTGAGCGACTGTTCCATCATCGCTTGAATCAACCACAACTGGGGTATTCACGGCGGCATCCACGTTTGCGGGTTGTTCTGTAAGTTGTGGTGCCGCATCCTCAGCCGTAGTAATTTCTTTCGATGAGGGAACAGCCTCACGTCGTAGCCGTTCGTGTTCGGCGACATCAAATATATTTGAGCGCAAGACCGAACTCGGTCTGCCAGGTTTTACTCTGTGACGGTTATAGATAGCTCCAGCTCCTAGCCGGATACGCCAAACCTCCAACTTTTCCCCTTTCGCCCTAAAATACGCCCGCAATGCGTTGGTATTCATTTCGATTGTCCATCGTATGCGGCTTACTCCACCAGTGGCGGGTGCCGATCGCTGGACCCGTAAAGGCCCTCCCGACACCAAGCCAGCTGGTGGGGATTATAAATGCGAGGGGCTGATGGGTGGTCGTTCTGCACCTCTCGCTCGGCTGGCGGTTCGCATGCTTTTGCGTCCAACGCCAACTCCAGACGCGCCCTGGCGACCTCCAGGCAGCGGCCGTTTACGCGTTCTATAAAATTGCATCATCGATTTTAATGGGGGTCATTTAAAGAGAGATGCCTAGACCCGGCGCCGTTACATGGTGGGGCCATGTGCACAAGAGGGCCTTTGCACCTTCAATTTTTGCCGAGGCACGGCACTAATATCTCTTGGCAAGTTGCTGACTGACTACGCTGACGTAGCGGTTTTGTCACATAACCGTTACGTCAGCGGGCGATGGGGTCGTCACTTCCCTACGCCTTATAATTATTATTATTATTATGGGGTATCTATATAGTTTTCTCATCTGGTTGGGTTCTATAAATATATAATTATAAATGAAAATGAAAAAATAAATATACATAAATATCAATAACATAAAATAAATATAAAAGTACATAAATAAATAAAAGCCCAACCAGATGGAGGCCCTCGGCAGGGGAGACCAAACGGCCGAGGGTTAGGGGGAAAGGGAAAGAAACCGGCGGACGATGCGGGCGGTATCGAGGAGCACCGCCTTCTGCATTTGAACCTGGAGCGGTCCGCCACGTAGTCCCAGCCGCCTCAGATGACCCGAGAGGCTGACTGGGATTAGCCCGTTTGCAGAGACGACTACAGGAATAATTTCGGCCGGCAGACCACCCCACATGTCGGTCACCTCGTGAGCCAGGTCCAGATATTTTGTTTGCTTGTCTGTTTCGGCTTTCACGAGGTTCTCGTCATACGGAATGGTAATGTCGACCAAAAATATCCTTGACTGTGCCCGGTCCATCAGCACAATATCAGGCTTATTCGCAAGAATAGTCCTGTCTGTGATGATGGCCCGGTCCCAATAGAGCCTGGCGCGATCATTTTCGAGCACGGCTTCCGGCAAGTACTTGTAGTACGGCAATTTCCGGTCCACGAGACCGTATTTCAGAGCGAGCTCCTGGTGTAGAATTCTGGCTACTAGGTTGTGCCTGTGCAAGTACTCAGAGTTAGAAAGCGCCGAACAACCAGAGATAACATGCCTAAGTGACTCACCGGGATGGCGACAAGCTCGACAGATGTCGACGGTGCCATCCTTTAGGATGTATCTCCGATAGTTGTTGGTCTTAATAACCTGATCCTGTATTGCACAGACAAAACCCTCGGTTTCCCCCGAAGAGATCACCAAAGCGTAGCCAGTGGAGGGAGGCTACTGTGTCTACGAAAGGCTCATGTAGAGCCTTGTAGAACCTCCCGTGGAGCTCCTTCTCCTTCCATACGGTCTCTCGGTCGGAAATGCTCTGCACTGCCGGGTCTTGCCATTGCTCGTTGGCTAAGGATAGAGGGGTAAGTCCTTTATCACAAGAAATGACGTCCATATAGAATGGATCATCCGATCTCGCCAGGAAGTAATCACGGAGGCTGCACACTTCGCGATTATGCATGGTGAGCGCGCTCAAGAAGCCACGACCACCATGCTTCCGCGACAAGTACAACCTCATTACCGACGATCTCGGATGATGCATCCTATGGGACGTCATGGTAGTGCGGACTTTTCTATCCAGGGCGTTAAGTTCAGTCTGAGTCCACCTGAGTATGCCAAAGGTATACATGAGGACAGGCATGACCCAGCCGTTATATGCGTGTGCCTTATTCACACCGGACAAAAGGCTGTTAAGCACTTTGGTCAAGCGTGCATAAAACACGTCGCAAACTGACTGTTTCATACCAGTCTCATCGATACCGATGTTTTGTATTATTATTATTATTATTATTATTATTATTACCCCTATGAGAAAACCAGTCTATATTTAGCAGTGAACTGTTAACAAACTGTAACAGTAACAATAATTCCAATCAACCCCAATCGTATCTTGACTTATTGTCTATGATATTACTTGTAACGTACTTTCGTATTTTTGAAAATGTTTATTTATCACGTTCAAATTATCGAACAAAGAACTCGCCGAGTTATTCGTGGTCATGTACAATGCTTTGTCTATTAGTCTGTACTCATTCAACGTAAATCTTGTTAACATGAATTACGGGTATCATCTGTTTGTTATGAATTTATGTCTACTTAGTATTTATAGAATCACAATTATTTATTTGGGTGATGTGGTACGACCACCCAATAGATGGAGGACGACCTGAGTTATGCAGGGAGTCGATGGTTGCAGAAGGCTTAGGCTGTGCTTCATGGCATTACTTTGGAGGCCTATGTTTAGTAGTGGACGTGTGAAGTACTGCTATAAGGATGATGATGATGAAATATTTATTTTTATCAATATTTAATTAAAATCGACTTCTAGGATCCCATATCATGGCTTTTCCTTGAAAAAGTTCGATAAAATTAGTGGATTTGTTATTCCGATCCATCACAGTAGATAAGTCTTTTTCTTAATATTATTTTTATTAAATTATGTTATAAGAAGCATAATAAACAACTATAAAAAGTTTACTGGTCAATCGAATGGTGCGCATTCGTTTTACTCGTGCTCGAAAACCAACATCAAGTGGAGAACATGCTCGTGCTCGTGCCTGAATCGTCTATGATGCGAGAGCATCTAAACGTTGCATTACAGCAGTCAGTTACGTAGACATAAAATCACGTCTTTTTATTATGTTGCCCAATCACCGAATGGTTAACTGTAACTATATGTTTTAAATATGAGGTAACGAAATAATGAGAGTTCAGATCATGGTTTGTCTTTAGATACTAATTTATGAAAATGACGTTCCAAGTCAAGACATGACTAAACCTAGCCTATGCTATTTATTTTTTCCCGCCCAGAAATCCTTTCGCTTGCGCAGCTTAGCGAAGCGCAACGCAGCTCTGAGGTTGATTGTCATTAAAGACGCTGGTCGTAGTGAACGATCTTGAGAGTTTGGTCCCATACAATCCATTCGCTGTCGCTAGAATAAATCGCTTAAGAAATATACCTAAATTTTAAAATATTTCGTTTATAAAATCGAATTTAGTCATTTAAAAAAAATTAAATTGATCAAAATGTTCATTAATAAAGTGCCTATCTATTAGTGTAAATCACATAATAAAATATTGCTTACTTTATGAGGAGATGCATTTTATCAATACTAATTTCGCATTTTTGTGGTTTTGTTGTTGGAAAAAGTTGTTGAAAAATTCATCAAGTATTTACTGCTTTTAAATAAATTGATTTGGCTATTATGAGTGGCTATTAGATTATATAGAAATTTAATAGATTTTATATCAGTTAATATATATATATATATATATATATATATATATATATATATATATATATATATATATATATATATATATATATATATATATATATATATATATTTAATAACAATAAGATAGCCCCTAAAAACCTCACAAATAACGAATAGCGCAAGTTTTTGCTCAAACATGCACCTTAATTAAACTGTTTGTTTGTAATTTATTTATATATAACCTTTACGAGTATAAACTATTTTTAGCCAAATTTGACTGTTATTCTTAGTAAAATTGATTTGGTTCACATTTTATATTTTACCTGATTGCATATGCATATAATTCATAGGAAACGTATGTAACGGAAAACGCCTATGCTTAAGCAAACCCGGCATTACATGGAACGACTTCAATACAATGACAAAATTATATACAAGGCTGATAACAAATTGTCGGTAAAAGATGTCCTGACTGACTGACTCATCTATCAACGCACATCTTTAACCACTAGATGTAGAAAGGTGACATAGGTATCTAAGATAGGATTTTGGAAAATTTAAGTCATAAGGGGCTTAAAAATGTGTTACACCATGTTTGTTAGAAAATTTAATTCTACGGGGCAAATGATGCGAAACTTACTAAAAGTCTATGGGAAAGCAAATGAATTCGAATTAAGCGATTTTTTTAAAACAACGCGTCATGATGGGAGTAGCTCTGCCCCTTGTTAAATTTATATGCAGAAATTTTTAATTATGTTTTTTTTATTTGAAATATTTAGTATTTATCTGTAAATAAGGGTCATAATAGGAGGATATTTTTTTTACAAAAAAAGTTAATTAAGGCGCACAGCCCAAAATGCTTGGCGAAGAAATCTGAAATTAAAAACAGTAGCTGTCCTTTATGACGTGATCATTCCCTAATGGTATATAGGGCGATCCACGTAAAATAGAATGTTACAGTTTTTATGACAATTTTTATTTTGTAACACGATTGAATCGAAACTTACTTAAAGTAAGTAGTTAAGTAAGAAAGTTAATAGTTAGCATATATGAAATAAATGAATAAGTATTTTGTAAATTTTTCTAAACAACCCCTTACGGGGGCCAGAGATTGTTTAAACAAAAATAACTAACGTTTTTTTTATTTTTCGAAATGGTACAAATACTCTTACATTATAATAGTACGTAAAATATCCATGTTATTTGGTAGAAATCTTTTTAAACTTGGGTTTCAAATTTGTGTGAAATATATGTATTTATGTGCAGCCCAAAACACGTAAAAGACGTGGACGTAAAAGAGTGTGATTGAAACCAAAGCTTTTGTTTTCAGCTTTTAAAAAATTTAAACCGTCTTAGAGTGTGAAATAGGGCGTTACAGTTTATAAGACCCTTTATTTTACAGTGCAAATTCATTTCTGTAATAAATAAAATATTAAATGATGACTTTTCTTATTTAGGCTTATTTAATTATTATTAAAGGCGTTAGTTTTACTAAAAACCTACAGTCATTATAATTCCGAAATTTGAAATAGTTTCCATGTTGCAAGGTAGATTGAGCTTTCCGTGTTTTGCGATCTCATAATAAGCGTCATGACTGGACGTTACATTTTGAACACGGGTAACACCGAGGAGCAAAA